TTGAATATCTCCAGAGAAGGAGACTCCACAGCCTCCCTGGGCAGCCTGGGCCAGGGCTCCGTCACCCTCAGAGGGAGGAGGTTCTTCCTCGGGTTCAGCTGGAGCTTCCTCTGCTTCAGTTTGTGCCCGTTGCCCCTTGTCCTGTCGCTGGGCACCACTGGAAAGAGTCTGGCCCCGTCCTCCTGACCCCCACCCTGCAGATATTTAGAGGCATTTCTAAGGTCCCCTCTCAGCCTTCTCTTCTCCAGGCTGAACAAGCCCAGCTCCCTCAGCCTCTCCTCGTAGGAGAGATGCTCCAGTCCCCTCCTCATCCTCGTAGCCCTGCGCTGGACTCTCTCCAGCAGCTCCTCAAGAGTCCCGTGGCCTGAGGAGGCTGGCAGTGCTCGCAGCACCAGGACCTGTGCCGTAGGGATGCTCAGACCCAGAAGTCAAGGGCTGTGGTCTCACCGGCTGCCCTGGCTTTGCATGGCTGTGCCTGGGACAGTCAGACCCAAGTGCAGCCACCAGAAACGTAGAAACTCCACCTTTCTCTGGGACGTTGTCCTGGTGGACCACAACCTTGACAGTGATTTGCTCCTTGTGGTGTTCAGAGCCTCGCTGACACTCTGACAGGGCTGCGGGGTGCTGCGGCGGTGGTGATGCCCTCCTTTGCCGTGCTGAGCCCCAAGATCTGAGTCTGCCTTTGCTTTTGTCCCGCAGTCCCACCCGCTGTCCCTGTGCAACACCAGCGAGGATGAGCACACCGAGTCGGGGTTCATCACCATTGTCAAGCTTGAGCAGCCGGATCGGGATCCCAACCCCTGCCTGTCGCTGGCTAACAAGGTAGGTGCAAAAATGCCCCGAACAGCACCCACCTGGGAAGCAAAACCTGTGGTGGAGGAAGGAGGGAGAGCAGGAGGAGGCACCAGGGTAGGAAAGAGCTGTTGGAGGGTGGAGGAAAGAAAAGGACAAGGATAGAGCAGGGTCCTTGGCAGAAGGGGACCTTATTTTTTGGGTTGCCTGGCTTTGTAAAAGGTGTGGATTTTTCCCAAACCTGGCTGCTTCTGGGACAGCTCAGACCTTTCCCCAGCGTCCCATACGCTTTGCTGCCTGGCAGCCTCGTGCCCTCCTGTCTTGCAGCCTCCCCTTGCTCGCTGGCCTGTTGAGGGGGGTTGTGTTTCCCCATGCTCTCTGCCCTGAGGGAAAACGTGGACACAGGCAACGTCTTCTGTGGTCCTGCCTTTAAAAGTAATACTGTAATACTTCACTGGATGAGACAGGTGAAGAATCGGTGCTGAGCAACTCAGACAAATGCAAACCAGACGACTTAGTGGTGGGCCACGACTCTTAACAGCGTGGGCCACCATCCGCCCTGCAAAGGGATGGGACATCTCAGGGGGCTTCAGCTCAGGTGTCCCATGGAAGAGGTGCCCTAGTGAAATGGCAGTTACGGTGTCTGTCAAAAGCTGAGGTCACTGGTACAATTCTCTGGTAATAAGGAAGTCAGGTAGGAACGAGGGTCATTTTCAGCTTTAAAATCTTGGCGTCTCTGATAAAGTTACGTGGATAAGGCTAACACAAGTTTTTTCTTCAGTGGTTCACTGCGTCCTTTTATTGTCTCTGTACTAAATGTTGTGTTGTTTTCCACGAGCACCGTACAAACATGAAAAAAACCTTGTTTAGCTCTTCTTGGCTTTGTCTGGATTGCATTCAGGTGATGCCACCTCTCTTGTCTGCCTTCTGCTGGCAGCAGGATGCTGGGGATGGGGTTCTTTTCCATCCTCCCTGCACCTCGGCTGCGGAGGGCAGGCGAAACTTCGCCCAAGCAGTTGTTCCTGCCCAGCAGTTTTTTTTTCACAGAGGCTGTGGCGACAAGAGCCTCCTTCTCTGGAGATACTCAAGACCCGCCTGGACAAGGTCCTGTGCAGCCTGCTGTAGGTGACCCTG